TTTTAAACCTAAGGCAATGTTCACTTATTAGAGAATTAATGGTATATCTCCCGTAAGTATGCTCAGGGGTGAATACTGGTGATTTTTGAAATAGGTCAACATCCTTTTCAAAGACCGCATCATGATTTTCTAAAAACGAGACAATATTCGGTTATTAGGCACAATAACTGATCTCCCGTATTTACGCTTGGGAGCGAATGCTATCGGTCTTAATAAACGATACCCTTTTCAACTTTGCATCCGTAATGATTTTTATATTAAATAAAGATCGAACTCAAAATTTTAGATATTAAATATAGGGTAATCAACTAGGTACCAATTTTTGGGCGCTTGTGGGGGTGCTAATCCTTTCCCACGCGTAACTGACTCCCGAACCTGATTTCTGGATTTTCGTAGACCTTAAACTTGGTATTTTGATAAAAAATAAAATGTTTTATTAAAATCACCCGATTTTTATGGTGTCTCAATCGCACCTTAAATGATTGGTGGTGACTCCTCACATTTCAAAAAACCCTTTCAAAAGAGAAAAACCCCGAGTCGGTATCGTTCTTTCCCTGCCCGGGTGAAAAGGTATCGACAAAGGGATTTACCCAAAGCATACCGTTAGAACTGACATGACAAATTAAAAATAATATCAGCAACTGAAAACCAAAATCGTGTCGTGGTGAAACATCTGCCTTGGAAATAAATTTGTCCCGATGTGTGTAATCGTTACGATAGGAGGATTATCCACTGACGTTAACACAGTATCTCCGAGAATCCGTACACCTGCAACCCGAGTGGACTGTGGTGGTATTGCTCTTATGTAGCACTGGTAAAATGTGTAGAAAGCTTAGGAAGCTTTTAAATGGAATTGAGAGAATTTTCGAGTTGTTGGATGATTTGAAAAGCTGAAAATGCTTCTCTATTTATAGGCTAGACTCAGGGACAATATCGTCCAAGGAAAAAAATAAATTAAATTCTAATTTTAATATTTTGAGATTTTATGCTTATTATAAACGAATGAACCTGATCTCAAAACTGTCGAGGTTCATGATTTGAGATAGCTGTTATAACAGCTAAATTACCATAATAAAGCTCACGTAACTGAAGCAATATAACAACTATCCAATTTATTATGTATATAGCTGAAATATTATCCAGATACATCATATATTCAGACATGATAGATTATGAAAGTAATGCTTCTTAATTACAATTGACTGTTACTGACTTAATTTATAAAATTCAAAACGTCAACTAATACAGTTGTTACAGCTCTGTAAATTTTGAATCAAATAACAACTTATTGTTTAGCCTATAAACCTTAGAGGAAAAATTCTTTCACAATATTTGTTTCCTTGAAAAATCCTAGGAACGTGTCGAAGACACGTATTGCCACGATCCAAGTTGAGACGGACGGACGACGACGATTGAGATGGTCCCTTGTTCTCTATCACTTCACAAGGGAGAGAAGAATAAACACTATAAATACCCTTGCAAGTGGTATTTCCCACTTCATGGGGGATAGTGCCTAAAACATTACCAACATTCCCTCACTAATGCAAAAGAATTCTTCTGAAACTCGAAAAATAACCTTTTTAGAAGACCAATTGTGAGATTAGTTGATTAAGCACTAGTAAACGTATCTTGAACCATAACATAGTAATGATGAGCAATCATTCTCATAGATAAGTGAAACTAGTCTTGAACTTCTAAGATAGGTGTAAACTCATAACACATAACTAACCTCTTTATCCACTGAAGTCCTCAATGTGTAAGATATATATATATATACAGAAGTATATATTTCACAATATTACCTCAGGATTTTAGTAAGTGTATTAGAAAAATAGCCTAATGTTTTTTCGTAGAAGGTGGCTAATCTTTCTTGCTTATATATGTTATTTCATTTGGTTTATCTCAATATAAACCACCCTAAAACTGAGCTATGAAATAATTAAGAGCTTTTACAATAGATCAACCTCTAATTAGTTATAATGACTTTCTTCAAGTTCATTATAAATAAACCACCCAAACTCTGGATAAGAAGTCATTAAGAATAAATATTCAACCTCATTAAATGGTAAATTCAATATGTCATTCTCACTAGGACCATCCAAACTATTGGATTTGAATTCATTAAGAGTATTAATAAAAATCATCCTCTCTAACTGTATGTTCATCTTTGTTCTTTGCAATTAGGACTACCCACACAACTCTGGCTTATAAACTTATTGAAGAATATATATTCAGCCAAAGTTGGTAAATTCATCAAGTCTTTCTCACTAAGACCACCAAAAGCTTGGGCTATGAATTTATTAATAGCAATTAAGCTCATCCTGTGCATGTACATTATTTGTCATAGTGATAGATTAGGAAAATGTACACTATGAGTTTTTTCATGGCTTCGTTTGACCACATTGAACTTGGATAACTAATTTGTGTATCCACCATGAATTCCTCAACCAATGGGCTTTAAACCCATCCCCCTCGACGAATCTAGGACCAGTTTCCTACTTAACCCTTTGGTAAGACGATCTGCTAGGTTCTATTCTGACTTCACATACTCTAAAAAGAGTACTTCATTCCTTATTAAATATATAATAGATTCATGTCTTATGCAAATTTACCTTCTTTTACCATTATAAGCTTGGTTCTTAGCCACACATATCGAAGCTTATGAATCACACAATAAAGAGATTGGAGGAGTCAGTTGTCCCCACAACGAAATTTCTACTAATAAATGTTTAAGTAACAAGACTTCTTGTCCAGCTAAGTCAAAAACTATAAAATCTGACTCCATGGTGGAAATAACAATACAGGTTTGCTTCGCAGACTTCCACGAGATCGTTGCCCCACTTAAAGTAAAATATACCCACTCGTAGAGCTTACCTTATCATTATCAGAAACCCAGTTGGTGTCAAAATATCCTTCTAAAATCGCAGGATAACCAACAAACTCAAGTTTCCAATCCATCGTACCTTTAAGATATTTGAGTAAGCGTCCAAGAGCAACCCAATGTTCACTACTTGGGTTATGAGTATATCTACTAAGTCTGCTCAATGCGTAGACAATATCAGGCCATGTATAGTTCATTAAGAACATTAGGCTTACAATTCTTTTAGCATATTCTATTTGGGAAACACTACTTCCTTTATTTTCAAAGAGGTATATGCTAGGTCATAAGGAGTTCGAACAGAGATGACATCAAAAATGTCAAATTTCTTTAACACCTTCTCAATATAATATGTTTGATTTAAAGAAAATATCTTTTCAATTTTGGCAACTTTGACTCCCAAGATTACACCGACTTCTCCAAAATCAATCATCTCAAATTTAGTATATAAGAAACCTTTTTTTATTGTTAATGGACTCAATGTTAGTACTGAAAATCAAAATGTCATCAACATATAAACTTATGATGACACAATCGGTACCGAACATTGTCGAATGCGCGTATGCATCCGAACCTTTAACAACAAAACCAAAACTAAGGATAGTTTTGTGAAATTTCTCATACCATTTTTTAGGAGCTTGATTAAGGCCATAAAGAGACTTTCTAAGTTTACACACTTTTTCTTTTATATCAGGTGCCTTAAAGCCTGGAGGTTGCTCTATAAAGATCTCCTCATCTAGATCTCCATTAAAAATATAGTCTTTACATCCATTTGATGTACTTGCAACTTATGAATAGAGGCTAGTGCAAATAATGCATGAATCATTGAGATTTTCGTTATGTGAGTGTAGGTATCAAAGAAGTCTAAACCAAATTTTTGAGTGAACCCTTTGGCAACTAGCCTTGACTTGTACCTCTGATTGAACCATTTGGTTTGAGTTTCTTCTTAAAAACCTATTTATTGCTGATAGGTTTAAATCATCTAGGCAAGTTCACTAATTCCCAAGTATGATTGGACATTATTTATTCTAATTTATCATTTAACGTTTTTCCAGAAACTAGCATCAATAGATCTTATATCTTCCTCATAAGTCTTAGGATCCTCATCTAATAGAAAGATCTGAGCTATAGGATTAGATATGGAGTCTAAATCATTTATCTCATAAATAAAGGAAGTTTAAAATCTGGTCCAAAAGAGATTTCAACTATTTGTCTCGTACTTCTTCTAGAATCAAATTCAATCTCTTGAGAAGTCCTAGCAGTACACTAGAAGAAGTGAATGGTATTTTTTATATTTGTGTTTCTATATTTAATCTAGGCTTCTTTAGAGGAAAAATATCTTCAAAGAAAAACAACATACCCTAGATCAATGGATTTAGGACCGTTGGTGGACTTCTTAAAGTTCGGAAAGCCCACTTTAGCCAGACACCCCTACACTTTTAGGTATTGTAGATTTGGAGAGTATCATTTTCACATTTCGTATGGAGTATAATCTAATTTCTTGTGAGGTACTCGGTTCAAAATATGATTGACGATAGAATGGCTTCTCCACATGTTATTAGATAATCTAGAACTTATCAACAATGAATTCATCATCTCTTTTAAAGTTCTATTTTTCCTCTACGCTATACTTTTCTGTTGAGAAAAATATGGAGAAAAAGTTTCGTGAATTATGTCATTTCTCTCGCACACCTCTTTCAAGAAATTTGATTCGTATTCACCACCTTTGTCAGATCTAACTCGTTTAATTCTCATATCTAATTGATTATCAACTTTTGCCTTATAAATAAAGATAATTTCTTAACTTCATCTTTAGTTCTAAGGAGATATACTTTTGTATATCTCGAATAATCATCTACAAAAGTGATGTAATAATATTTTCCTCCTTTGCTCTCAGTGTTTCTAAAGTTGTTAGATCAATATGTATATGCTAGATTAGTATGTATAAGTTCTAACAGTTCAATATTTCTCTTATAAACAGTCATAAATGGAGGTTTAGTATGCTTGGCTTCTACACAAATTTCACATTTTCTAAAGCAAGTTTCATCTAATTTAGGAAGAATATTCATTTTTAATCAGCTTCTTTAAAGAGTGAATATTCACATGTCCTAATCTTGCATGCCACATATCAAGAGGTTTAACGTTGTAAGAAGATGTGGTAGCTTTATTCTCATTAAGCTGAATTTCAATGACAAATAAACCCCCATTTAGAAAACCTTTCTCAATATAATCACCATTCTGTGAAAGTACAAGTTTATCTGCCTAAAAAACTAGCTTAATTCATGTCTTATTAAAAATCCCTCCACTTATTAAATTTTTACGTAAGACAAGTATACACAAAACATTACTTAAGGCTAAAGTTTTTCCGGAAGTTAGCTTGAATAAAACCTTGCCTTTTCCTATCACTTCAGAGCTGCTAGAGTTCCCCATGTACACACGTTCACCTTCATCTTCATCCTCGAACTTGGTGAAAAACTCATACCTTGCATATAAATGTCTTGAAGCACCGGTGTCTACGACCCATTCAACATTTTTCTCCACCAAATTTACCTTTGAAACCACCGCTGCGATGATATTAACATTATTCCCTGTAATATTCATCTGTAGTTTATTCTCGTTCTAATGGTCTGAACGATTTTAACATTGGTATGCTTTGTGACCGACTTGACCACACACATAGAACTTGATGAATTTTCCTTCAACTTTGGAATTTCTTGGTTTTTTGAAGTTGGTGACCTTCTGAAGTTTTTTCTTTTTGTTCTGATTTCTTTTTTTTAGATCTTTTTGAATTTAGATCCTGAGGTAGCGTCAGACTCAACCAAGTTAGCTTTAAAGGATAATTAACCAAATGAGTTAGCAACCTTATCTTTCAAATGATTAGCCTCCTCTATCTTCATGTGGCCTATCAGCTCCTCAAGTGAAATGTCCCACTTCTTATGTTTGAGGGAGTTGTGGTAGTCAACCAGGACTTGGGTAGCTTTTCGATCAGGACGTTGTCTTCTAACACTTTACACATCTGCATTCCTTCAGCAAATATTGGAGACCATAGTTTTGTAATAATATACTTGATCTATATTCGATTTGTCATCAGTTATCTGGAATCTCAACCACTCATCAATGACATATTTCTTGATACTTGCATCATTAGAGCCGTACTTTTTTCAAATGTGTATCATATCGTCTTAGCGCTTATTTCCTTAAGAAATATGTCGAAGAGCTTGTTTTACATGTGACTAAGGAGATGGCGACATCAGTAGAGCTTTATCACCATTTGCAGTAGCATATTCTACAACAAAATCATCGTTAGGGTGGTAGGTGATGGCTTCAGCAACACATAATCTAAGTCAAGTTGTTCAAAGAAATCAAGATTCGTTGGGACCATCTACTCTAATTGGACCCATCTTGTGTATCAAGCTTGGACAAATCATGAATAATCTTGCTCAATGATGTCGACATTTTTTTTGCAGTAAATGAATTTGTTTCTAAATTGTTATAAATAAATACTGCAAAAGTACACCGTTAGGACTGACAGTATAGATTAAAAATAAAATTAAGGCTTAAATATCAACTTTGCCCCTATAGTAGACCAAATTTATCATTTTTACCCCTATCATATTTTAACATCAATTTAGCTCTCAAAGTTATTTAATTGCATCATTCTATGTCCTTCCCCTAACTTAAATCCCTAATTTATAAACCCTAAGTGTTTAGATATAATAGTGTTATGATTTAGGGTTTTAAGTTAGGGTAGGGTTATAGAATGATGCAATTGAGAAACTTCGAGGCTTAAATTGATGCGAAAATATGATGGGGGAAAAGTGATAAATTGAGTCTACTACGGGGGCAAAAGTTACCCTTTTGCTTAAAATCAAAAAATGAAAACCAAAATCGTGTCGTGATGAAACCACTGCCTTAGAAATAAATTCATCCTGATGTGTGTAATCGATGCGATAGACGAATTATCCCCCGAGGTTAACATAGTCGCTTCGAGAATCCGTACACCAAAAACCGGAATAGATGCGGTGGTACAACTATTCTGTAGTACTGGAAAATATGTAGAAAGCTTAAGAAGACTTAGAGAGGAATTAAGAGAATTTTTTAGTTGTTGGATGATTTGGGAAGCTGAAAATGCTTCTATATTTATAGGTTAGATTGAGGGACAAAATCATCCAAGTAAAAATCAGATTAAATTTTGATTTTAATATTTTTGAATTTTATGCCTGTCATAAATGAATGTACCTGGTTTCAAAGCTATCCAAGTTCATGATTCAGAGATAGCTGTTACAACAACTAATTAACCGACATTTAAGCCCCTCATAACTGAAGCAACATAACAACTATCCAATTTATTTTGTATATAGCTAAAATACTATCTATATACATCATATATTCAGAAAAGACAGAATTCCGAAAATAATGCTTCTCTTTTTCCTTAGAAAATTCCTACGACTTTTCTCTAAAATGATAAAACACGCACGGACATGTCGAAGACATGTATTTCCACGAGCCACGAGTCAACTAAGCCGAGCCGAACAGATAACTACACTAGATGGGCCGTTGTTTTCTATCACTTCACAAGGGAGGGAAGAATGAACACTATAAATACCTCCATGTGCGATAGTGTCTAAAGCATTACCAACATTATGTTTCAAATATGGCACCGATTGATTATCATTACATAATATGAAAGAAAAAATAAAGCGGGAAGTTATGATGTACGAAAGTCTAATTTAAGGCTAAAGAACAACAAGGAATAGACGCAACCGAAAATTATATAGCATTTTAAGTTGAGTACAACTTAAAATGTTAAATTTTAACATTTTCGGTTCAACAAAAAATGTTATGAATAATGTAATATTTTCGGTTGTAAACAAAAAATGTTATGAAGAAGGTGTGCAACCGAAAGATGTTAATAAAAAGTTAACATTTTAGGTTACACCCAACCGAAAATGTTATGCTTTTTATAACATTTTCAGGTTGCGTCCCTTCCCAATAGTTTCTTCTTTAAATTGGGCTGCCATCATTTGGACATTCTCACTGAAAGCTTTAAAGAATATGTGCAGCGAGAAGAAAACAAATGTCGCTTTTGTCAACACCCTAGCCTATTTTTATGACAAAATGATAGGCAGTGCCACAAAAAAATTTGTTAGCGTGGTGATATCGAGAGAGCTTATATTAAGAATGCCATAAAAAGTGAAAAGATGGAAGATCAAAATAATACAATAATCAAAGTTGCTTCTGTTAAAGAAAAATGGCCTGAAATCCATGTGCTTAGCCACAGATCGCTCCACCGAACCAACTCAAATTTTTACCAGCCTCAATGCTATACTTCCCTTACTATCTGACACAAATTATCACTAGCATGTATCACCATCTTTTAAACCAGGCTCTCACATCTAAACACCTACTCCAGTAGCAAGTACACGCAGAAATCTTACAATAAAAGGTTCCTATTAATAAACTCAAATGACATATACAAAATTGCTCTCGAAGTTTATGGATGATAAATTTGTAGCTTCAAATCGTTTTGAACCAAGAAAGCCCCTTTATCGTACAGATTATGATATTAATGTCACATGCGATTATCACTTGGGCGACTAAGTCACTCTGTACAAAATCGTGAGGCTTTAAGACATAGTAAATTTTTTAATTGAACTGATATTTTAAATTTAACAAATAATGATTCATTTTACTAGGAACGACGATTTGTGATGAATTCGGGTATTATAAGAAAATAATAATACTTAACTAGAATGATGGATGTTAGACATGAATGATGATACTCGTCATCTGTGATGAAAGTGTTGTTGCCCTTTAAGGGCAGATGCACTAAGTCCCAAGAGGTCAAGTGTATCATAATATTTAGGGGGAAAATGTAAATTTAGTTTAACATATTAAGAAAAAAATAAGAAAAATAAACTTTTTTACATATCCATTATTTTTAAGAAATGAATATTAAAATTTTGAATATCATTTTTAAATTTCTAGATTCTTGTTGGCCCTTCATTGAAGATTTTGCTTTGTCTGATTTTGATTCTTAAATGCTTTTGTTGTATCATGTTCTTATCTTTAATCAAATGGATACCGTACTCCAGGCTCTAGAAAAATAATTTTTTATTTATTTTTAAAAGTCTTTTTCTTTGAAAATCAAATAAATAATGTACTTTTTTGAGTTCAGATTTATAAACTTTTGATATGTGATCAAGATATAATATTTGTCTCATGTTACGACTGGCATATACAAAACAACCTTTTATAACATAAATCATAAGGCACATAGCTTGTAAATGTTCATTAGCATGCAATTATTTTCCATGAATAGCAGGAACGAACGTACAATTTCATGTTGAGGGGCGAACTAAAATTCTAGAGGAGGCGAAAACAAAATTTTCTTTAAAAATATATAGAAAAAAATCTAAAATATATGATAATTTTAAATTTTCAGGGAGACGACTTCCTCCACCCACCCCTTCCGTCCATCCCTGCTAAATAGGCAAAACGAGGTATCGTATGTCGGCTCTACAAATAGGGGATGCATATTAGGAACATACAATGAAAAGATGATACAAAAATACATAAAAATCATATTGTTATGTATTATAGTTTTCAGATAATTTTATAAATAAAATGGTTAATTCCAAACATATATCCCTATGAGGGCAATTCTTCTATGATGATATCCGGGCATGAAATGATGAGTAATTTCCCTTCATAAAAATATATAATATTTAGTGTCCATTTTTTATTCTGATAATCCCCCTAAACTAAAGCTTAATCAATGACAATCTTTCATATTGGATGATAAATCTATAACAAAAAATCTACTCACATGAGTAAAATTAATCAATTCTGATCATACTACAAGGATAATGCTTTATGTACTGAGGGAAAGAGCAAGAATATATTTTATACACGAGATGACTGTGTTTTAAATTTTGATCAAAATAAAAGTTTTGAATTTATAAAAAAATAAAATATAAAGGGAAAAAAACAATGAAAATTCGAATAAAAGAAACATGGAACGAGTAAAATAGTAAGTACACATAGATTTTCCCATTAAAACTCACTCCTTTGGATTCGATTATCTTCAAGTCGAAGCATTCCACATAATGTTAGACCTATCATAAATAATTCGTTTAAAGTTCTTGATGCAATATTCTTTGAACGGTTAAATTATATCAATGATCACTTAATTATTGTTCTTTTTCATTTTGATTATCAATCTTCTAATTTTTTCCACCAGACCACTTAACTATTTTTGTATACCAATCAAACCACCTAACTATAGCTCCCTTTATTTTGACCATCATTTTTGAATTTTTGTCAGTTAGGTCACCTAACTATTTCAATATTTTCAATCAAGTCACTTGTCGTTAACATAGAACGGAAGTACTGACGTGATAGTTAATAAAATTGATATAATTACAAATTTGATCCTCGATAGTTATACATTCTATCAATTTGATCATAATTTTAATTTTTTTAATCCCCAATTAGGCGATGACACGTGTCACTGTCATATTGAAAGATATAATTTATTAACTATTTAATTTGTTTTATTTTGTATCCAATAAGGTGGTGACACGTGTCACCATCTTATT